CGATGCCCCTCTTATCCGTCTCCTTGTCTGACTCGCCCGTGCAGAGAGGTCAAGAATCCAGAGCTACAGTATTTGATAATATGTACAGTGCCAACATATACGACCAGGGAGATTTCGGTTGAAATTGAAAGTACATAGTTACAGAAAGGGGGGAATTGCCTTTTCTGGACAGTAAAGTTGAAACGCGGACGATAAAGTTGAAAACGCGGACATCCGTGCAGTGCTCGTGCAAGTCGTTTTACGCATTTCACTGTAATCGTTCTAGTGAGCTACAAGTGTTGAAGGAAATGAGCAGTGAGCATGCTTGTGCACGAACGTGAACTGCGGAGAATCAATGCTGCACTGCTGCTATACACGCAGTTGCACGAGTACTGCATGGAGATATGCGTGAAGAACGATTCCGGGTTGGCTTTTGTCCAATAATGACCGCCATATACAAGCTCGCCCGAGGTGCCCGATGCGCTGCGCGGCGGTAGCTGCCGGCAGTATTTCCCAAACGAGAAGTACGACACATACTTGACTAGCGTCCGCCCGGCAGATGTGGCCTCGTACGGGGTTTTAGTCCAAGAAATAAACCCCCTAAGAGGCCTTTTGCGTAAGGTCGGCGGTCATTCCCTGGGTGGTTCCTACACCAGGTCCAGAGGCTTCTATAAATGTGTATGAATGGTTCCTAAATGCTATGCACAGGGCTTTTTGTGAGTATGTAGGTAACAGTTCCTATATACACACTGTACACAGGCATTTATAAATATGTTAGAACGATACGAACCGAGCATAGATTTTTATGAATGTGTAGGATTTTTTTTAAAAATGTTACAGCCGTTTGCATAATTCCGTGAACATGCGATTTTTTTTTCGTGCCATCACCTGTCAAATGCCAACCGTGCCGGAGGATCCGGGATCAAGTTGGGATTAACTAGAGACATTCAACATATTACAGGACTCATTCTGTATTCTCATTAAAGGTATGCTGTGTTAATAAGGACAATCCTGCCCGAAACCAACTCCCCGGTGTCGAAGAAAGGGTGATCCGGGGGTGGACCGAGTGGCGTCAAGGTCGTGCTGGTAGTGGCGCCGAGCCATGGGACAGAAGACACCCTCCCGAGATCACGAAAGAGGCTCTAATAATAGAATGATCAGTATAACAAGGAATGGCAAAACTTAGCTCAATGTAGGGTTGATTCTCAAAAACAAAGGCTCAGTGGGGAGGCTCGTCGTCGTGGTACGGAGGAGAAAAGGAGATTAATTAGGTAAGGATCGGCTAAGCAAAATGTGGGAATGGAAGGTGATGGAAACTACGTAGAATGGCCATTGTAAACCCCGCGGCTAACTCACCTCCTCAGCTCACTGCACACCGGGGGACGCGCAAAGACGTATAGGGAGATATGCTGCCCCGATCAGCGCCGGAAGTGGGTGCCCAATCCACTCCGAAATCAATCCCCGGCGCGATCCGAGTGTACAGCGGCGTCGGAAGGAAAGCTTCGCGTTGGGATTGCTACAAGTAGAATATAGGGGGCAAGTCAATGTGAATAGGTAGAGATTGGAATAAAATATGGTGAGTTGTATTGAATGTGGTTTGAGCTGTACAGCGCACGATGGTGATGTGGCAGGAAGAGATGTAGCTTGGTGGTGGAATAGGAGTGGTATTGTGGTTCTGGCAGTAGATTGACTTTGGTGAATACAGAGTTCAGAATTGTTGTTTGAAGGGGAGAAGCGTGGAAAGGAGGTCTTGAAGGCGCGACGCGTAATATGGACGCGATGTGGTGGAATGTTTGGCATGCACGTGAACCCGGCCCGAAGCCCGCAGGCGACGAGCGAGGCAAGTCGCGCTGCCACACCGGGACTATGCAAACAGCTATATTCTCGGCGAGTTTCGTAGCTTACGGTGCAGTTTAAATAATATCACTGCCATTAATAGGGATTGCTGAAGGGTACGTATGGTAGATTATCGTTACATGAGGTGTGCTGCATAGCGATAGTGGTAATACAAATACATAGCAGAATCGTCAAACGTCGTCCATCTTGATTAAACCGTTCTGGCTTCCATCTCGGGCGCTGGGCGTCCGTCGCTGCTGTTTCGTGTCCTCCAAAGGTGGATGATGGACATGACGGTGGAAATCATGAATAGCACCCTACATAATAACCCGGCGAGTCAGCAATAGGCTTGGAATACGAGATGATGAAAGGGCGTACCATTCGATGGCTGCAAGAGTCGTAGCAGCTTGCGCGGCCCCGCACACTGGTGCTGAACAGCCGAGGAATGCAGTGGTGAAGACCGCCAAGGCGATGAATCCGCCGAACCAGAAGACCATGGTGACGAACTCGGCAGCGAAGATGCCGAATTTGTGTGCGGCGTCGGGAAAGTAGCGGTACGAGAGCGTGAGATATGGAAGTGCCAGAACGAGGGTCCAGACGCTGGCGAAAAGGAGGAAGTTGACCTGGGAAGGTGAGCCTCCGCCTCCCATGTCGTACTGGTTCGCAACTACGAGGATGTTTTAGGTATGTAATTTGAACCAGAAGAACAAAGCAAACGCACTGAAGGCGGTGGTTATGAGGACTCCCAGAGCCAGAAGGGCCTGGGCCACACGCAAAATAAACATGAACATGGTCGTGTGGTTTTTTGGAAGGGCTGGAGCTGGGAGCCTGGGGCTGGGTGGGGCGCGTGTTGGCGGCCTGGTGCGTTTTTATGCAGCCCGGAGGAATGACGTCAGTGACGTCATGGTCCGAAACGCCACGTGATGTCCCGGATTTGGCGTCTCTCCGCCTGGAGTCTGAGTCAACCAGAACGGCTGCCAGCTACACCATCTGTGGTATCTCTGACCAAGAAAGAACCTTTGTCGCCATCTGCAAGTTTGAACATAAAAATGCGACCCATTGTCCAATCAAATTGATCTCTTTGGCTGGGCCAGAAAATGCTTCCATAGCGATGAGGGGTAATGAGGTGAAAAGATTAGCTGATATCTTCTTACCCTAGTGAAAAGCCACGAGTGAGCGACCAGCGAGCGAGGAAGAATGGGTGGAAGATAGTTCAACCTCCGGCAATATGTGCCGGCAGTGCCGTCGGAATTGATGGCGGTGTGTTTCCGGCATTTCCAACTCCCAAATTTCCCGTGTCCGCCGACTCAATGGACCGCGCGGTCTGGACCTGAGCTCAAAGTGCGATTTTGATATATTCCGCCAGAGTCGCGGCTTTCGTGACCGACAGTCCTTACGGTGCCAGTGACTGGCACTGTGAAAGTGCGACTGCCGAGCTCGTCGCCTTCGGGTCTCGGGCCGGGTGCATGTACAATCTAAATATGGCAACGTCGCGCTGCTCAGTTTTATTCTCCTGTCATGACGCGTCTATTGCACCCATTTCTCTTCTAACCACGAATTATCCTCCCTATCTTCCTCAGAACGTGTTCGCAGCTGCATAATCAAGTATATTCACGCCGCACTGCCAAGATACTGTACCATTTCGACCAAAGGTTCAGGTGACGGGTGACAGAGGGTTGTGAACTGAACAATTTTTACCCAGGTGATGGTGACAGATGGTTTTTGGAGCCCCATATGGGTCCAAAAACCCGAAAATTTTCGCTCCGGCATTCGCCGGCTTACCATTTAGGGTAATTTTCTCATGATTGCCGAGGAATGAACATTGAATCCAATGAACAATTGAGGTGACGGGTGACATACCGTGAACCTTTGGTCGAAATGGTACAGTACCTATTTCCTACATCACACGGACATTGCAATGGATTCGACGTGCATGGCTAAGAAAGATAGGTCTCCTACGAGGAAGGAGAAACTCACACGCGAATTCAAGTACCAACGCCCTAACAATAACGACCCAGCTCCATCGTCGCATAGCAGTTACCCGTTCGATTCGCAAATAACATTCTTTTTTCCTGCTCGGTTCAAGAATCTGATTCTTCCGCCTAGCTGATTATCATTTCTGCGTCTCCTTGACCAAAGTACGTCTCTTCTACATGCAAATCAATACGCCCGCCATAATACTAGTATTGATTCTGTCTCAGCTTAACCTGAAATATTTGCACTCATGATATCAATTACACCGATGGATGGTCCGCAACCGCAACCTCTTATTTATTGCGTTCCGCAGCCAGAACTGGCCGGCTCGATGCGGGCCCGCGTTTTGCTCCAGGGTATGTTTTTTTGACCCTCCCCGGATTGCAAACTCTTTTGTGGGGGCTACATAGTTCTGAGCAAGGTAAATCGAGGTTTTGCTGGCCACGAACATAATTCCTGTTTAGGTGGATACTACGCACGCAAACCTGCAATTTCAAATACCGACGCAGTAGCGGATGGTCCGCGTCTGCCTTCATTGTTGCATTTCTCTCTTTATTGCATCAGCAGGAAATGCCCGTTCGATTCGGGCCTGGGTCCTCCGGTTTGAAGTCCGTTTTTTTGCTCCTCCATCTCCCAATTTCAAATTGGCGCAGAGTTTATCACACAAAGTTCTGAAGCCAGGCCAGCCCCATCTTACTGGACAGAGAACATAACATGTTCAAATATTCATAGCACTGGTGAGTCGTAACTTGGGTGGTGGTGACAATCCATTCCTGGATACGCGCACTCTGATTCAACGGCTAACAATCCCTCATACCGACCCGGTGGCAGATGGTCTGTATCTGCGTCGCTTGAGTTCAAAGGTCCAGCCAGCAGATATTCGCCCGTTCGATTCGGGCCTGGGTCCTGATACGGCACCCTATACCATTTTTTTTTACCCTGGCCTCGCTGTCGCTGAAACCAAGTCTGATATTCATCATCCTACTCGCGCTCGAACATGATCAAACTATCAGCACGTTTTTATCCAGCTACTTTCACCCCAGATGAAATACTCACATTAGAGATGGTCAGTAACCATATCTAATACCGTGGATGGTTCGCCTCTTGAGTTTACTACATATAGGGTCCATGGACGATTTCTGTTCCTCATAAATCCCCCTATGATCATAATATTGATTCTCGCGCAGGTTAGCCCTAAATATTTACATCCAAGTCCAGTGGCGGATGGTCCGCGTCTGCAGCTCCTATTAATATTATGTAGTATGATGTCCGCCTCGCAGAAGGTCGCCCGTTCGAGTCGGGCCTGGGTCCTGGGTGTCGACGTAAGCCGTTTTTTCTCTCCATCACCTGCCGCCAGGAGTCCAAAATTCTAGCCATGGTCATATTGCTGCATGTTCCAGAGCAAAGTGCATCTTGTACTGCCCGTCATCGTCGGTATACTCCACGAACTATTAATCAGCTATCGCTCCAGTCTTCGTAAATAATATGAATGCTTGCACTCAAGTTGAAGTAAGTACCAGCCGTCCATGGTTCGCATCTGCCTTCCTTCGTTCTGGAGAATGGGATCATCATCGCAGAAGGTTACCAGTTCGGATACTTTCTTCCTTCCTGCATGAGGTCCAAGATCTCGCAATTTCGTACGTCCGTCTGCATGTAATTCTGCGCGACGCATAACATACTGAGGGTATTAATTCATCCTAAGATCCGGAATCTGGCACTCAAACGATTCGGGCCTGGGTCCATGATTGTTTTTCCTGCGGGATTTGGATTCGTCCCTCCTTTTGCTCCGGATTTTCGTTACTCTGCTCACAATAACACCCTCGGGCTCAGGTCCGAGTACGCCAAATGCTACTGAACAAGTACCTCCCAACATTAATTAGTCTTGTGTTTACTGCGGGGGTCTGATCGCGTAACCGAGTTATTACGCAATCTCAGAGTTTGAATTCAAGTCGCGTACGCTTTTTCATATGACACCACTTAATTCATGGGCTTTTGACACAGAATGGGTTGCCAACACTACCGCATAGTACTTTCCAGTGCTACAAGCCGCCACGGGTGCCAGGAGCCTATGGCACTAGGGCTCGGCTATGGCTCGGCTACGGTTTTCCAGATGGACGCGTACGTGCCTGTCACTCCTCGTGACCGTGACATGACGTGGCGTTAGCTGAGTCGCTCCGCTTTCACTGCCTCCATGCCAATCCTGCCAACGACCATTGATGATAAAAATCTTTGCTGCCGTATTCGAGCCATCTTGACTCCCACCTCTATGTTCTTCCTCGATCTCCCGGAAGATGTTATCGAGTACGCTCTATGTCTTTCCGATATATCCTCTGTGTTATCCATTAGCCAGGTGCGACCGGTTCCTTGCAGTCTGAACCGGAGCCAATTATCACTTCCCCTACCAGACGAACAATTACCTCCACGATCTCGCATTTACCCCAACCATTTGGAGGTTTCTAGTGGAGGATCTCCGGAAGCGAAACTTTGTCGACCGATTGTCTGCTGCGGACATACGGAAGATGTCAACGCAGACTCTGGTGGCTGTGGTGAGGCGATTGGTCGTCGGCCCCGAGGCATGGTCTCCGCCCCGAATTCAGTCGCTACAACCCACGCCATTCTCCAAAATCCTGGCAAAATTCGCTAAACCTCAAAGACAATGTGCACCTCCAACGCAACCTTCTGCACACATCATACTCCATCCGTCGATCTCTCCTGGACTTCCCGATCCCCTCTGGCTGGACTGTAAAGTTCTTCCAGGAGGAAGATATCTTCTGTTTCGCCCCGTGAACGAATCGCAGACTCTCGGGTGCTGGCGGACTGCCGGTGATTCCCTACTGAGCACATACAGCAGTAGAATCCCATCTTCCTACATGGTGGATTTCGCAGCCGAAGCGCTCGAAGGTGGCGAACGCGCAAATATTGTTATAAGACTCGGAAACTCGCTGAACTTGTACGTTCTATGACTGGCTTGAAGATTCTGTCCTGATCCTGATGGTTGTTCTTCTGCTAGTGGTTACGTCGAGGTCATCAGCTGGGATTTTGTGACCGGAATGACAGAGCTCCTCTCAGTGACTCAGTACACAGACCGACAGTTAGATCCCCAAACCTTGCCCAATATCTGTGGTGGCCTTGTCCTTGTGCGGACCTGCCGGAATTCAGCCTGGTCGCAATATTTCTATGAAATAATTGACTGGCGTGCACAACAATATTGCAAGATCCTGCCCCCTTCTTCTACTGTACGTCCGTTGCTACTAGTATGCGTAAGCTGTTCTTTTTATACTCATCGGTTTCAGGAATCGAAATTCGCTATGGAACTAGTTCCAGGCTACTTTATTTCTACCGCAACTTCCTCTTCAAATAAGACACAAGAGATCAGGATCTGTTCCATCGCCGCCCTGCCCAATTCCTGGACACCGGTGGGAGAGCACAATACGGCTGATCCCGTGCTAGTGTCGAATGTCCCTCATGTCGTATTAACCACAATCAAGCTCAACGGCACACCAGTTCGAGCGGGAATAATTGCAGTACATCGAAGTCCACTTCAACGTGGCACGTACCGAGTGTGGCTCTACTTCAGTTATTACGAGCCTCGACTGTTCGCCAACTCCCCAGATCGCGCTCTGCTGTGCAGGTTCCGGTTATCTCTGCCAGAGACAGGAGATCGTCAATTCACCTGGCGGCAACAGAGTTGCACCCCGACAGAACCAGCTCTGCGATTCCGCGGAATCTCGTACTCTGGCCACACCCCGAAGGCGCATTGGAGTACGGGGTTATTTCACCGAATCTTGCCGCCAGATATACCTCCTGCGCCGATTATCGTTGGAACTCCCGAACGAATGGAAGCTTCGTGGGGGAATGTTGCACCGTATAGCGGCGCGCTGACGTACTTTACAGACCACTCACTGGTGCTGTGCTACTTCGAATAAACGTGTTTCTTCAGATGCCATCAGGATGTTCTATCGTCGGAAGCAACGGCCAAGCTCGTTGGTGAGCCGCAGGCCGGGGAGGAATCCTGTTCAGCGCTGACAGCTAGGCCGGTGCGCGCAAGATTTTTGTTAGAAATGTTGGAGTAATCGCCTCCAATTTCGCTGTGTGCAATCTGGAATACAGCAACCCAATATAATCCCGTGCTCAGCACGCTAGTTTCATGGTGAGTTGTGGAGGCTCGGATTTACGATTTCGTTTGTTGCCTTGTTCGTTTGCTGTTCTTTGTGCGGGAGGCGCCGTTTTCGATGTCCTTAAACACTGTAGTAGTTTGACTGTAACAGTGTGACGTGCGCGACGAGATTAAATTTTGATGAGTTCTTTGGGACTGCGTTTTCCCGGAATTTTTCGTCTATACCGCTCAGTCAGAATTTCGTACACAATCGCGTTCATTAAAGATGAAAGCCACAATATTCGACCTCAGAAAGAATGATTTTGGTGCATGGGGAATCATACGAAGTTCAGGTGGTTCGAGTTCTGACGTGCGTTTACTGGTTCAACGTCCAACGGTCAACGACATCAATACCGGTTGAACCGCCGCGGTTATATCTTCAATGGAGCCGACGTAGAAAATAAGCGACCTTCTGGCTATTGCGTTGGATATTATCGATGGAAAGTAGAGCGGTAAGAATCGAATGTAAAAACATGAGGTCGTGAAAAATCCTACAGAGTTCGCGAACAATGTCAAATTTAGTCGGAGTTTAGGTGCCGGCCACCTACACCGTTTCATTCGGGGTGCCGCGGGGCGATCGTCTCCGTGGTGGCGTACGCCAGCGCTCCGCTATGCGGCGTGCGGTGTGCCTCCCATGTCCCGGGGGGGTGATCGGCGCAGAATCTCCGTCTGGCGGGAGACTCGCCATATTCCAGTGTGAGTGTGTCCAGAATACTAAATTGCACCGGTGCGCGCATTCTGCGGTAGCTGTAAATGCGCGCGAATACACCCGTGATTTCGGTGGTACGAATATCTCTTCTTGAATATTGCGCTTCTATACTTGTTCGTCTAGAACAGTTGGTGAATCAGGCATCTCAAAATACGAACCCAAAAGAAGAAAATTCCTGAGACAGAAGGACGGCTACGAGCCGCCCTCGTAACATAAGGGAAAAAAGAACGCTCACGCAGCTGCAACGGTGACTCTGGCATAAAAATTCTTGCGCCGGGTATTCATCAGAAGTAGGGCCTTGTAATTTAGTCGTGTTTGTAAACCAGTTTTTTAATGTCCTTGGAAAAATGGCCGGTTCTTTAAATATTATTTACTAGCGGCCAGCAATCAGTGGGAGTAATCAAGGAGCAATTTTCACGACAAGACGACTATGTTGGGCGGCTCGAAGAGCTCAATTATTTCTCACGTCTTGTCAAGAGTTTACCTGACATGATCCCCCTTGAAGATACTGACCGACGTTGATATTACCTTGCCATTTTTAGGGATTGTTTGCGGATAGTCCCATTGTGGGTGCTGATTCTCCGAGACTTGTCGGCAGGGAGCCCAGTCGCTGGCGAGAAGATGCAAAAGGCCACGGGACAGCTGGTTTTGGACGGGACCCCCAAAAAATCGTATTATAGACATTCTGTAGTGCCTGGTTTACAAACAGGTTTATATACGGCTTGTTTACAAACCAGGTTTGTAAACACATTTCCAACGCCTCTGGAATTACTTACAAGGCCCTAGTCCGAAGTACAACGTTGGTGAGTTAGGCATGTCAAAATGCTAGGAACCCAGAGAGCCAAATATTCCTGAGCGTCCACACGCCATCGGTTCGTTAGTACCTGGCTCTAATGCCTTACGGTAACGCCATCGTAGACGCGATGGGGAGTGAATCGAGAAAAGACTTGACCTCGCTGCGGGAAGTAAAAACGCAACCTTGGCGCAGGAATAATCTACAGTCGGATCAATCGGTAGACCAAGTCAGAGTTGGAAGAATGCGGAGAGGAGTTTGGAAATAGTTTTCAATACGAGAGCAGGAAAGTCGGCGGTGGAAGTCAACTGAATCAAGATCAAGTCACTTGTGGAAATTAACTCGGAGAATTGGATGTGGAGTCGAGCTAATGCTGCCGCGACTCTCGACTCCAACCCCCCAAGTCGACTTGAGTCGAGTCGAGTCAAGTCACTTGGCGTGACTCCGTCCGACTTCGGAGTCGAAAGAAGTCGACTTGCTCGACTTGGAGCTGGCTTGGAATCCCTCAAGTCGGCCTTTGTAGGTAGGTAGTTAAATTGGTTATAAACACCCTAGAACAGACCTATACTGATGTCAAGGGAAGAAACCTCGAAAAATAGGCGAGGTTGAATTTTTGAGCCCAGGGGATATGATTTCGGACATATTTTAAAAGT